CCCAGCCACTTCCAGAAGTGGCCACAGTAATCAGCTGCAGTGATTGGCCACAGGGGACCCCCCTTCCCCCGGCAGGATTGGCTGCGGGGGGACCTTCCCCCCGGTTGCTGACTGGTCTCAGGGGGGGGGGGCACCATTCACCCATGCTGTTCATAAATGTTGCTGTGAACCCACATTTTCCCCTGATAGATCTGAGGCAGAAAGCAGGGGGTGAGGGGAGGGGGAAATGAAGAAGAATGAAGGAGATGTGTGCCCTGTGTGATCTTTGGAAGATCACTCCATTTGTTCACCTCAGTTTTCCCATCTCTAAAATGGAACAGAAAAATAACAGAAATGTTCTCTTACTTCAAAGAGGTGTAGCGAAGATGAAGCCATTAATGTTGGCAGTGCAGGCTCTTAGACATTCCTCTAATGTAGTGCAAAGACCTGTGCAGGCAGTTAGATCTCTCGGAGGCTGGAATTATGACCTACACTGAGCTATGGGTGAACAAGCAGCAGGTGCCATGCTATACCAGGCATCATGAATGCATGTGCAGAAAACACCCCCTGTTTTGCAGGTAGAAACCTCTGTGACTAGGACCCCCTTGCAGCCAGAGGTTTTGGAGCCAGCCTTGTATGAACAGGCTGGTCCACTAACTTCTATTTCTCTCAAGCAACACTGACTATACAATAGATTTAAAAATACTAACATTAAAAGAAAATTTAAACATCAGGTTACTCAAAAGATGTCAGGGTGGGGAAAGAAAATGTGAGGAGCAGCGACATCCTGGATGGCCAAGTGTGGGGAGCTGCACTTTTCCTGGGGAAAGTGTTGAGCCTTTAATAAGATACCTACCCCATGGAAAATGCTTCCAGGGGTCTCTCTCTTCTTCCCAGAAAACAAAGCAAGTACAGTTTTGCTCTATCAAGTATCCATGGCATGGAAACAACAGTTGCCACCAAGATCACCAGTGTACATACCTGTTCTGTTCCAAAGGGGCTATATTGCCCTCCTGCTCCATGCCACTCTGTAGCAGTTAACACTCACTACATTCATGCGTGTGCTAACACAGGCTCATATCACCAATAAAAGACCTAAGAACAACAGCCTAGCAAAATGAAAGGCTCACCTGCAAAGCTCCCAGTTGGGCAGGGAGCTCGGGATGTGGAGGGCCTGTCTGACATCATCACGGTTCAGCCAGATGTACATAGCGGTGGCATTGATGCATCTAGGGACTCCAGGGATAGAGCCAACTTTCTGGGAATGCACATGCAGAGCTTTGGGTAAGCAAGACTCTGCTTTGGAGAGTCTGACTCTGTGGCAGATCTTCCCAGACCCAATCCTGGCAGTGTGGGCATCACTCAGGTGACCCTCTCATAGTTCACTCCCTGCTTCTTGCCTTTTGCCTCCTCCTGCTCCCTCTCCCAGAACAGTTATCTCACCCATGTGACCCATTTTGTGAAGAACTTCCTTCAGGTGAACCCCTCTGTGTCTTATCCCCCATTTTGTTTTTTCCTGCTCTGCTGTGTTCTTTTCCCACTGCCAATAGATCCTATGGAAAGAACAGCAAGTGCACTGTTCCCAAGGGGAAAAGCCCTGTGGGACTTCTATAGTTTTGCAGGCTGGTTTCCCATAAATCAACATCATCTCCTCCTGAGACAGCAGGCCCAGCTTTTTCTACTTTAAAAAAATGATTGTTGAAGCCCTGGTATCTGGGGCTGGGAACACCCCTGGAAACTCAAGTCTGTATCCTCAGATCAGCCAGAGAGTAGCTATGTTATCTCCCCCATGTGTTCTTAGCAGTACAGAGGAGACAAGATGTGCTTGTCAAGGGAGTTTGATGCTGCTGGGCACAGACCGACCCTGTTTTTCTTGCTGGCTCTCTTACTAGCTGACATAACCATCACTGTCTAACCTTATTATACAGGTTTCTTCTGTCTTGAGCAGTAACACAAGAGATTTTGGAGTACACTATAGGGAGGCTGCCTTTTAGTTATGGGAAGGGAGGGCAGTCTCCACAACTAATTCAGTACTGGGACTGGAGATGCCAAGGACAGTGCTCACTATGACAGTATCTTTTGTGGGTGCTGGTGTGTCCACCAGAATTTAGACTTGGCTTCTCTATGCTAGAAATACATGAGAAGCCAATCAGTCACTCAAAGTTCCCCCATCTGCTGCTGCAAAGCAGAGCTACCACAGGTCAGCCCAGCTACTTACCGGCACTGGCACATTAAACTGGTATTGGCGAAAGAGGTTGGACAGGTCAGCCTCATAGCGTTCCTGGTAGTTCGCACCACCCCAGCATGAGGCATAGAGGTTGTACATGTTTAAGCCAATGCCATACAGTCTTTCATATGCCGGTAGTATCTGGAAGGGGATGCAACATGAAAGGTTAGATTTAGCTATATGGAGGAGGCAAAGCAGGTGGCAAATGCTGATGGTACGGGCTGACTGCAAGAGAGGAAGGAGGTAGGGAAGCCTGGATAAAGCTAGAGAAGTTGAGGAGCCCCTGAAGGGAAGTGTATTGGGAGTAGTGTCAACATTCATCTTCTTAAAGTCGGGACTTGGCCTAGCACCATACTTGTTGAACTAGTTTAGAAAGCTAACTCATTGTGAACCCAAAGGTCAGAGCCATTCAGGCTGTGATACAGTTTCCTATTTGCTGTTCAATTAAGCTGGATCCATACTGTATTCAATGAAGCATTTTAAAACCCAGATAAACTGATGTGGTTTTGAACAGGTACAGAAAACATGATGCACCACTCAGTGGTGATGGGGCCCTTATTCTCCCCTTTCCTGAAAGAGTGAGGTGTGAAAAGCTGCTCCTTCAAGGGGAATCAAAACCAAGGAAGAGGAGCCAACTCACCGCAGTGATACAGTTGCTATTGGTGTTGTTGATGTAGTTGCAGGTTCCTTGGTAGCAGCAGTTCTTATTCAGTAAGGCCCATAGCCTGCAGGGCAGAAGGCACAAAAAAGGAACCCCATGTTGCACAGGGGAGGAATCTTACAGCTCAAGATGGACCTGAATCAAAAGCACTTATCTAGACATTTATCATTAAAAGGGCAAACCTCAGCTCCAAACCTGTCTTTGTGGAAGGCCAGACAAACCCTTTCGGAGTGAATATTCCTAAATCTGGTAGTTCTGAATCCAGCTCAGAAATTGAACTTTCCCAGACATAGGAATGGTCACATCCTGCCACTTACAGAGGCTATGTCCAGCTCCTGAGACCTGGGCCAGAAATGTGATTCGCTCATCTCAACGTGGTATGGAGAGAAAACCCTTGACTGAATACCTTAAAGGGCTACTGAGAACCTAGGCCTGGAAGCTAGTCTTTGTGGCTAAGTACAGACAGTCAAAGAGCATGAGGCTGAATTGATTCAATCTTTGCAGGTTAGTCTAAGCTGCATAGATTGACCTGATAAACAAGTGAACAGACATTCCCTTTTGATTCCAGAAATGCAGCCACATCCCTGCAATGGCCCAGGTCAGAAGCTGGGGGGTGCTAGAGCACACCTCCCTACTTGGCTGAAGCAGACAACTTGGGGCCAAGGCTAGCTCACCCACCTTGCAAGGGCAGGTTGTCGGGGAGGTACAAAGCATCCTGGGAGGCTGGAACACTGAGAGTTAACTTGAATCTGGAAGGGATCTGGGACAGAAGTTCAATAAACTGATTTAAGCTAAATCAGTTAAATCTGATACTACATCTATCCAGGTTTATCTTAAATCAGTTTCATTTTGAAAGCAGTTTATGTGCACTGAACTTCTGTTGTGTTATAGATTTGAACATGTTTCCGATCACTTATGTGTAATTTCTGTCCCTAGCCTGTACATGTGATGAAGGACCATGGTACGTGCGAGGAAATTGCCCCTTTTTGTGGCTTAATTGCCCTTTTTAATAATTTACTTGCGTAACAGTGTACACGTTTGGCAGCATATGATGATTACATTCCATAACACTGTACACCTTTGGTGGCATATTTTGATTTAATTTGTTTGCTACGTAACAAATTACAGCTATATTCCTCACATGTACAAGGGCCCTATCTAGAGAAGGCGGTGGGGACGGTGCACAGGGTGCTGGAAGCCCAGGCGTGCTCAGGGAAGTTTGGGCTTGGCGGACTTCCAGTGGTCCACGCACTGTCCTTGCCACCTTCTTTGGCTGCCAACACATCCAGCTGCCCTCTTGCCACATTCACGGGGCAGCCAGGCAGTGGGAAGGTGGTGCGGCAGTGCACGGGGCCTGCCAAGCCCAAGCTTCCCCAGGCACACCCAGGCTTCCAGCACCCTGTGTACCATTGGATCTGGCAGGTGCTGCCTCTGAACTGGGGCTGCACCAGTGCAGCTAGCATCCCACCCAGGCAGCACCACTGCTGTGGAAGGAAGCACCAGGACCCCCACAACTCAGGGGCTGTGCAGTGTAGTGGCAGCTCACACAGGCAGGCTCCGCTAAGGAAAAAAAAAAAAGTGGTGAGGAGTCTGATTTTTTTTTCTCTCAGAGCCTGCTTGCATCTCTCATGGCTGGGGAGCAACCTGCTGGTGGGTTGTGCAGCCCCTGGGCTGCAGGGACCCCGGTGAATCCCACCACAGCAGCAGCACCCCCCAGGCAACACCCACCTGCTGGCACCCCGACTGGGTGGTCCCAGGGGACACCACCACCATGGAGGGAAGCATTGGGGTCCCCCACAGCTCAGGGCTAGCATGACCTGCCGGCAGCTCACTCCCTGGCTGTGGGAGGGGGAAAAAAAAAGATCAGGCCCCTTACTGCTTTTTTCTTTTTTTTTTTCTCACCAGCCTACATGCATGAGCTGCCGCTGGGTTGCGCAGCCCCTGAGCTGTGCGGGGGGGGTAGTGCTTCCCTCTGCAGTGGCGTTGCCCCCTGGGACTGCCTGGGCCTGGTGCCAGTGGGCAGGTGCTGCCCAGGGTGTGCTGCTGCCATGGAGGGAAGCACTAGGGCCCCCACCCCGCAGCTCATGGCCCACCAACAGCTCACTCCCTGGCTGTAGGACAGGCAGGAAGGCTGTGGAAAAGGATTGGGACCGTCGCTCCTTTTTTTTTTTCCTTCAGCAGAGACTGCCCGCTCTGGAAGTCCCGAAATTGAAATGGTGCGTTTTTAATTGGCGCGTTTTTAATTGTGATTAAAAACTCACCGTTTCAATTTAGGGAGAACTAAAACCCTGACATGTACAAGTGTCCTAAGATGAAAGGTTTCACCACACCTAATAAGGATACCTGTGTTTTCACTATATTTCAATAAATAGCTCCCCTGAAGTTTAGTGAACCCCTGTCCCATTTTCAGGGTGCATGAGGTAAATGAGGAAGAAAAGCTGAGCAGGCTGGCATCACTGGCCAAAGAGAATAAAGTTTAAAAACTCTTTGTTTTGGTAACTTAGTAGACTATTGTTAGGATTGGGCCCAAGCCATGAAGCCCAGATACGAGTGCCGAACTTCCCAAAGCTCAGGGTGTGGCAGCAAGGCATCGCCACAGGCTTCCAAAGCGGAGAGAGTGAACCCCACGGGCCCCATACCCCGGGAGCAGGCCCCCAGCAGAGCTAACTTACCTCCTGCAGGGCAGCCAGAGCAGGAGCCGTGCCCACGGCCACAGCCGCATGAACCGGCATTACGCCGACTGTTTAATCAGCTGTTTCCGGCGCGGGAAACAGCTGAGCCAATCCCAGCAGCCGTACCGGCCTCTGCGGGAAAGTTTAAAAGCCCCGCCAGATCTGGGGCAGAGGGAGAGCTGGAGAGAGAGAGAGGGTGGGCCGGCAGCTCGTTAGGCAGGCTCCGGCCCGGGGAGGAAGCAACCCAGCCTGCGTGGCTCTCACAGGCAGCACTAGGGAGAGCTTTACAGGAGGCAAAGCAGAAGCACCCCCACAGCCCCTGGAAGAAGCTGAGACCAAGGAGGCAGGGGAGCTCCCTGCATACAGTAGGAGGGAAGAGGCATCTGAGACCCCTAGAGGGGGCAGAGGTAAGGGAGGGAGCCCTGCAGCCCCCTCCTACTCAGGGGAATATTTTCTTTGAAATAAAACAAACCCCGAGAGGGGAGGAGGAGCTACTGGACCCAGGTAGACAGGCCCTTGGCCATCCTATGGGGCCAGAGACCATCATCAACACATCACCAACCGGTTGGTGAGTGGACGGGGTGTAGGGGAGGTGGAGCCCTGTGGAACATCATGCCCTATGATCGTAAGTACTGCCGTCCATCGGGAGGGCCCCCCGGGAAAGATCTCCACTGAAGACCCCTCTCATAGTAAGTTTAACATCAAAGTCGTGGCAGACGAGGTGAGGGGAGGGGCCACACCCTGACAGGCCGGGCTGCCAGAAAGGTGCAAGATGTCACACAGGGGCATCAGGATCTGAGGGGTCTGGGTTCCTTGTCTATGTAGACATACTTTTACTTTAGTTTAGGTTAGGCTTTCAACAAGCAAAATCATACTTGGTCTCTCTCTGTGGACTTTGATCCAAGGCTCTGGAGTCAGTAAGGGATCCAAGTAGCTACTGCAGGTTCTGAGCGTGTCAGAATCTAGGTGTACTCAGACTGGCACTCCCCAGAACCACCGCTAGCAAGATGTATCAAAGGAAGAATTTTAGTTATAAACTCAGATTCCAGGAAACAGAGTTACACCCATGCCCAGGACATCCTGGATGGGTGAGTACATTACTTTCAGCTTCCTGAGTCACACAGCAACCATGGCACATGGGCACGAGGAAATACATCTGCTGCTCTGCCTCTTGCTGATGACACACTATTGCTCATAGGATACTGAAGGCTGCAATGTTATGGAACACCACCGTGCAAAATAGTCTACCCCCAGTCTCCCATAGCAGATGTAGATGACAGTGTAGGGGTGTTTTGTTATGGTCAAGCAGATGGGGGATGGTGCTTAGATTTAGGGCTAGGGAATGGTATACAGGCACTAGCCACAGCAGAGGAGAAGGGAAAACATCCGAGAAGAAAAAGGGAATGCTGGCTGGACAGTGGTATCAGAACAGGGGCACTAGTGGAGAAGAGGTTGTGGTGCTATGGTAGTAGCTCCCATGTTCTCACTACTCACTCATCTCCAAAGACTCCATGGTAGTAAGCAAATTCCATCAGAGTTACCTCGTTGAGGTAATAGCTGGTCATTCCATTCCCAACTCCAAAGCCCTGGAATTGGAGGACAGCATCAGTCCCAAGAAGGAGAAGGCCACAGGCAGCTCAGGAACTAACCAGAGGAGGGGACATTGTATTTGGGAGTTGACCCTGGTAAACATTCATGCCTGAAACCTGCATTTATTTTAAATGAAAGCTTAAATTCTACAGAATCTGAAGATGCTCCTGGCTCTCAAAAACATCTTGTGCACTTGTTCCAGCCTATGAGACAGATGGTGTTTGATACTATAGCTTGAAGGACTTGAGCTTGTTCTATTAAGGACAATGCAATGTTTCCATTGACCCAAGAGGGAGCAGGACCAGGCTTTAGAGCTTTGTTAATTAGCAGCTCTCAGAGGTAAGATACCCAATTGAATGAATATGTGGTTTGATCCCATGTGTCAGGAAGCAGGATACCAAAATAGTAGCTATTACAGTACATTCAATTATAGTACCACCTCGGATAGAGTGGGAGCTTTCCCAGTGCAGGCACAATTCCTACCCCATTCTTTGGCTCAACAATCAGATCCTCTAACACTGCTGCTCTGCTTCTAGTCCACTTACCTTAAAGTTGAAGTTGGCAGATCCCTTCACAATCTTTGCGCTGAGAGTGGGGACATAGATGCCACCGTAGCTCTCCCCAAAAACATAGAAATCATTGTTTCTGAAGGCAGGGAATTTGGCAAAGAAGCTCTGAAGGGCCTGGTAGTTATCTTCAGCCACCTGGAAGAGGAAACCATGACATCCATAGGGATTAACAACAGTTGCAGGCCAAGGAATTTGCATTGCCTGAGCTTGACTCCTGCTTCCAATACTAGAACAGGATCCCCCTGGCAGAGAACAGATTCAGCCCTGGCACCTCAGGACAGTAGTAATTGATCCTGCAGTGACTTGTCAAGGAGAAATTCTCTCCCAGAGCAATGGGCCTGGATCAATAGTAACTTAACTTCATGCCCCATATGAAATACTGAGGGCAAGATACCTCTTCCCTCTGCCTCCCCCGATTCATCATGGTACCAGGTGGACTCAGCAAAATAGCACATTATCATGATCAAGGCATCCCACCCCCACCCTGGATGGTACCAACAACAGGATCAGCCCCTGAAGGTTAGCTGCATTAGCATTTAAATGGCTTCCAAGGGAGCACCCACTGAGGAATGGAGGGAATTCAGGACTTCTCTTTCTGTGATTACAGGTAGGCATCCTGGTGATGATTATCTTTGTGCCTAGGAACTTTCTGGGATGAAATCTTGGCAAAGAGCAAACTGCAGCTATTCACAGGTCATCCTTGGGCAGGGCATTTGGTGAGTCAGTGTCACTAACCTCCAAGCAACTTCTTCCCTCCTCACCCTTTGGTCCCCAGGGAAATTCAGGCTTACTCATTCTTGTAGATGCCATCACTCACCTGGTTATCACTGATCGAGCTCTGAGTAAAGTCAGAGTAGGAATAGCCGACTCCAGCTGGGGACTCCAGGTATAGCATGTTGGCAACTTTATTCCAGCTGTAGGGGTTCAGGTAGAGCATGCCATCATCATTCAGCTGTGTAGGAGGGGCAAATAGAGAGGGTTACTGTGTTACAGGCAAGACTCATGGCTTCACCTGCATCACTGCAGCTCTTAGTGTAGGGTTCAGACACGTTTGCATGCAGCTCCTGTCCCACCATAGCTGCCTGGTTTAAATTCCTCCCTGAAGTGTCTCGACTTGGACTATGATGCTGTGAGCTTCCTCCCTTCAGTGCCTTGTTAGTGCTGAACTGGGACTCAATGTTGTGAACTCCCCTACAGGAAAGCCTTGTCATAATTGCTTCTACTACCATCTCATTCTATCAGACTGTTTACATTTTTTTTGCTTGGGGGTAGGGGGGGCAACCTTTCTAGCAGCTCTGCCACAAATTAACCTCCCTAAGTATCACTCCAATCCCCTTCCCCTGCTTGATTTTCTGCTCTGCTTTCTGCTTCCAACCCTGCGCTCCCTGACCAATTTGCTGCTTTTTTTCTGCTTTCTGTCACTGTGGTGCCTCTCCCCTCCCTGATTTGCCATGTGCCATGGCAGAGGCTGCCCATTTCACATGTGGCACCTGTGCCGCAGGTTGGCCTCCCATATTTCAGCTAATCCCAAAGATATACATACATACATACACTCACAGTCAAATGGTCCAAAACAGGACTAGGACCCAGGAACCCTCATGTTAACCTCAACCAACATAGAATCATAGAAAATTAGGGTTGGAAGGGACCTCAGGAGGTCATCTAGTCCAATCCCCTGCTCAAAGTAGGACCATCCCCAATTAGATCATCCCAGCTAAGGCTTTGTCTAGCTGGGTCTTAAAAACCTCCAAGGATGGAGATTCCACAACCTAAGCAGCAAATACAGTGCCCATCCCCACAGGATCCGTATCTAGCATGGATTTACTTACTGAGGGGCATGTTCTAACCCATCCCTCATTGGCTAGTAAAGAAACAACTGCATCCCATCCTCCCTCAGTGACACCAGCTGTGCCCTATAGGCTTCAAGCAGCAGAATAAGCACTAGCCATTTGCTAAACGTTCCCAGGTTGCAATCTCGCTTCCAAATAGATAACATCAGGGAATCCCATAGAGCAGTTCATGTGCCCACTGTTAACGTGGGGCAGGGACTTAACTGCATCTCAGCTTCTCAGTGATACTTGCCATGTACCTACTTCTACCCCACAGTGAGACTTTAACTTGGACATCTGACCACTGAATAAAACACAGCCAAGCTGCCCTTATTTAGCTTTTACTACCCACAGAGTAAGGGCCCAAAGACAGTTATCACATAGTAGCTGAGGTGTGGTAAGTCCCTGTCCCGTTAACTATAGGCCTGAAGTCCTGGAGGTACCAGGGTTTTGTGGGACTCACAGCCCTACTTTTAACTGCTGTAATGCCACTAGGCCTGTGACCTCTTCTTTAGGAACTGCTGCCTTTGATGCAGACTCACATTGAGGAAGAAGCAGGGGATGAAGGGCTAAAGCCAGAGGGGAACTATGAAGATGGCTGGACAGTGGGGCAGGTGTCTGAGCACTCAGGAGAGTAATATCACAGAAGCAACATGCTGTGGATACAGCATATGGCTGGGAGCTAGGAAACTCAGCATTCATTCTGGACTCTGCTGCTGACTTGCTCTGTGGCATTGGAGAAGTTACGTTTCCAACTCTGTGTCTCAGTTTCCCCATCTGTTTAATGGAGGCAACAAAAAGGTATCACTGTATCATTCAGTGTTTCTGTACTCACATGAAGGGGGCCATTCTCAGCCAGAAATCCTTCCATGGAACTGCAACCAGGTCCCCCATTCAGCCACACAACTACTGGATCAGTAGCTGGGTTGCCCTGAGACTCCACAAACCTGTGGGGGAAGCATGGAGGAGAGCCCTGTGACTACTCCAGCCCTTGGTGAGTTCCTTGTGACCCTACAGAGAGTGCAGTAACATAACTAAAGTGGGACAAGGGAGACAGCAGCCACAGATGCCAATCGGGAGAGGAGGGGGCAAATTAATAGCTGCCACTGCTGCTGGCTGGGCACACTACTGGCACTGGCATCTAGGAATCACCACTCCCCCAGGCCTTGCTGCTGCCCCAAGTGATTTGCTGCTTGGTTACACCTCTGCCAAAGCAGTTGCTTGGGCTGCTTATGGAAGATAAGCCCTCAAGCTGTAGTGCAAGTATCTGACTTGCTCTTTGGGAAGACAAATGGTCACACCCCCTGCACACACACCCTGCACTAAAGTGGTATGGAGGGTCTTGCTCTCTGCTTCCAAGCCAACACCTGAGGATACCTTATATCACTGGGCTGGCTCCCACTGAAGTCAGTGGAAGGACTCCCATTGACATCACTGCAGTGGAGATCAGCACCTGGGGTGGTATGGCACCATGGTTTTCTTAGCAGAGTTATAACACCATTTGGTCCCATCTACCCTGATAGAACCAACCCACAACAGGACAGCTATGGAGTACTGCTATGCTCAGATTTATTCCAGGAAGGGTATATATGTTCTGTAGGATCCCTCACACAGCTCCTCAGACTACCCATGAGACACTGCCTAAGGTGGAGCAGACATGGGTTCCCACAACACACAGCCTGTCTTCTTCCCTTTGTCAGTGTCCATCACTGCAGTGTGGACAAGACCTTAATGGCCACCTCTCTATCATTTATGACAGAAGGAATGGTAACCCACAGAGTTAACCATGTAAGGCATCTACCTGGACTGTTTTAAGAACAGCAGATCCTGCATATATGCAGGGGGTTGCACTAGATGACCCTTAATATCCATCCCAGCCCTACAATTCTAAGTGCAAAGAAATCTCCAGGGTGCTCAGGGGTGTGGTGGGAGAAATAATTTTAGGAAGTCTGCTTCTCAGAAGTCATCACAGGAAGAGCACCCCTCATCCTTACAGCTACAAAAGGCAGTTAGATATATTATGAATATCATGAATGTCAGCCTTGGTCCTTTCTGGCCTTGCTGGAAAATGCCTGGGAGGTGTTGGGGTATCTGTTGTGAACTGTGGTAACCCACTGATGAACACATGTTATGGGCCACCATTTTGCCAACACACAGAGGATGCAAATCAGTTACAGTCCCAAGTTAAGATGCTCTTTAGCATGAGCTGGTATAAGTCATGCTTTTCCTTTGGAGATCCCTGGCTCAGTTCCTGGGAACTCTGCCAAGATGACAGCCTTCACATATATCTGCACTATCATACCTACAGCATCTTTTACAAAGGCTTCCTTTCCTTACAGCATTCAGTAGTCAGACATTAGGGACCTCCCCGCCTTCCCCCAAATAAAAGAATTTTGAATGATCTGATTAAATTCACTTCCTACCCAGTGGCTCGGTTTACATGCATTGACTTTGCCAATGCCAATGGCTTTTTGCCACATACATGCTTGGAACCATCACTCTTCCACAGCTGTGTTGCTAACACAGCCAGCATTTTAACCTATATGACCAGGCTGCTTGGACCCAGCCTGGGCCCAGTTTCTATCCAGAAGTTTCACTGCCTTAGCAGTGATGGTGTTGAACCACAAAAATACCCTTAGTTGAATCAGGGCAAAGCCCATGATACTGGTATCAAGCTGGTTCTATTGGCTTGGCTTATGCAGAATAGGCAGAAAGCAATTCAAAAGCTAAGAAAATGCAACTGAGACACCACTGCTAATTTCCACCCCCATTTCTCTTGGTACTTACCAATAATGGAAGTAGTGACCCGGCCCTGCCTCAAGGTAGCCTGACCACTGCTGGAAGCTTGGCATCTCAGAGAGCCCTGGCAAAGACGTGATGAGGTCTGGAGCATAGTGTCCTGAGCAGAGACCCAGGCAGAGGTAACATATCACTGTCAGGCTGCAGGGGGACTTCATGGTGAA